GCTCTAAAAATAGCTCCGGGTGCGTGTGCGCACTGCACCCGCCCCGCGCCCCGAGGGGGGCAGCTGTGACGCCGGGAAAACTCTCAATAACATACAAATTACTCATGGAGCAAATTAACTGTGTGTGTGAAGGGCCGAGCCACAGGCAGAGCCATGGAAGATCCCCCTGGCACACTGGAGGGGTAAAAGGTTAGCCCCTATGCTGGCACCCCAGCCTGGCTTTCTTCTGCTTCATCCACCTTGCCTCCCCCCAGGTATTTCGGCTGTGCCGGGACTGCCGGATCCGACCCCCTCCCCTAAGGCAGTGGTTCTCAACCTTTTTTGTACCGGGACCCATTTGTAAACATCAATGGCTGGTGCCCCCAGGGCCGGATACAGGCATGGGCGAACCGGGTGGGTACCCAGGGCCTGGACAGAAAGGGGGCCTGAAAATGGTGATTATTATCATTGTTGTTGTTGTTGTTGTTGTTATTATCATGATCATTATCTCTGTCAAAGGGGGGTGCAATACTAAAAGTTTGCCCGGGGCCACCAGGAGTCTAGGTATGGTGCTGAGTGCCCCTCACTCCTGCCTCCTGCCCTACACACTGGTGGGTGTGGGGGGCATAGGGGGGCCCCAAGCAGCCCCTTGCTAGCAAGGGAAAACCCCCAGTTTCCCACATTTTTCTCCTTTTAAAGGAGAATCCATTTTTAAAGGTTGTTCACAACCCTTCCATAGATTCTTGTAACCCACTTTTGGGTCACAACCCACAGGTTGAGAAATGCTGCCCTACGGGGTCGTTGGCTTTTCCATTCACATCTTCTTCTTTACCTCCGGTCCCAAAAGGGCTGTCTGGTTTTCTGAAGCACCGGGACAGCTGTCGGGTTTCAGCCCCAAAGTGGCTGTGTTTCTGTGACAGGTGAAAGGATCTTTCCATAAACAGCAGAGGCCTAGGAGCCAGTTTGCAGGAGACTTTGAGATGTGTTGATAAAAGTTGCTAGCTGCAGTGGGAAACGTTTGTCAACAGAGGCCACAGAACTCTCAAGCTTGTTTCCTCTTCTAAGGGAGAACACAGCAGGGAGGGCGGAAGAATGACAATACCAGTATACCACTAGACGAGCATACGTGCTGCATTTTTAACAGCCACCACAGTACCTCCAGTGAAGTGTCAGTCGGAAGTGTGAGGACCTGTGGGCTGTCCCCTTAAATCTGTATCAGGAAGTCAGCAGGGAAAGGTTCTCGGGGGGCAGAAGCTCAACGCCAAAGTAAAGAAAGTCACTTTGGGGTTAATAAAGTGCTTTCTTTCATGTTCCCAGTGAGAAGACAACTACTCAGTGTCACATGACAATTGTTGTATCTTGTCCCACACAAACACTGGCAGGGAGGGTTGCTAGGCTCTGAATCCCGCTTACACAAGCTGTGAAAAACAAGGAAATAGGAGCACTTCAGGCTTTGGATGCTTCCCACCCACACTCCACTCATCAGTTCCCCTTAACTCGCATACCCCCTACTACCACCCACAGCTGCCCTCCTCCGCCGTGTGAGCAACATCTATTATCCAAGGAGCACAGACCCACTTCTGCAGTGGGGGAGTGTTTCCCTTTGATATTCCCTTACTGCAAATGGAGATTCCTTCTGGAACTGAAAGGAGTTTGTCCTGAGGCCTGGCTTTGCTTACAGCAAAGGTCACTGCCCTACTGTAGAGATGCTACTAGAAGTAGATGCTACTAGCAGTGTTTTTACTGGTGCATGTGGCACCTTCCTCCCGAACCCACCCCCTCTTAGAGATGCTTCCAACGGAGGCGGGTAGCATTTAGCATCAGGTGCTAGAACTGGTTCAAGTCTCTGAAGTTCTCTGTTGGACCTCGGTTTAAGCCATCTCATTAGCAACAGAGGGGACAGGCTCTTCACTGGTATAAAACAGGCATCCTTCTTTTGCAGTCCAGCATGCTGAGCTGATTCACACAAGCAGAGAGTCCAGCTGACAGGCATGATATTCAGAGGTGTTGATGGCTGGCACGAACAGGTGAAATCGGTGGGAAGTACAGTTGATGATTGCATTTGAATATAAGGCCCCAGAGCTCTTCCTGGTAGCTATGCCAGGAGGGGAAGGACACCTGCACTAGCCCAGTTCCTTGTGCTAGATCTTAAGCAGGGTTGGAGCTGAGCACTGATCAAACCAGTGCTCCCTGCTCAGTGTCCTGTTTACCAGTCTTACATGGCAAGTGGCAGACCATCACTGTGCTATCTATGTGCCTTTAGCTGCCAGGACATCTCTCTTCTCTCCCCATAGAATCGTAGAAAATGACATCTGAATTGTAACATCCCCCCACACCTCCCCAGTGGGAAAGCCAAGTGAGATTTCTGTCAGATCTTCAGTAATTGAAATCTCTGCCCTTTGTGTGGGTTAAAAATCACATCCCTAATAGCTGCCCTGACTGGAGATAGCTCATATTTATTTTAAACTACAGGGAATGGCAGGGACTGAATGGGCAGCAAGGTGGACATAGTGTAGTGTGTTGACCACACATGTGGGCACCGTGTCAGGGAGTCTAATGCCCATGATACACCAGATCTCTGGTTCCTTTCCTGAGGGATCTCAACTTTCATATCAAACCCATGTTTCTCAAAGGACTGGAGGGCAGTTCTTTCCCTATTCTCAGCAGTAGCTCTAAGAGGGCTTCTTTCTGCTTGGGACATTGGAACAGACCTTCCTCCCTCCAGCAAACCAGGTAGCCCAGGTGACTGTTCTAGTGAATTTGAAGTGAAGAGGCCTTTCACATGGGACAGAGGCAGAGAGATCCTAGCCAAGTGTTCCTGTGCTGAGCTGAAATGGCTTTAAGCTAGTGGAGGATCTATTTTTTCCATGCAGCAACCATTTTGGTTTTTGTCTTGCTTACTGGCCTCCTGCCCCCTGTGTGACCTCTCCCCACATCCAGGTAGTCAATTATTCCACTGTGTGAGCTCCTGGCTTCACCCACTGCTGTGCCCAAGTCACCCTTTCCGTGGTCTCCATCCATTTGCTTCCTGCCACTTGTTGCATCAGATTCAGTTCCTTGCCCTTGTGTCCAAGACCTGGCACACCCTACCCCATTTCCAAGTCTGCTGTAATTTTCCGTACTCCATTTTTGTTCGGTATTCTTTTCCCCAAACCTCTTACCCTGGAAGCTTGTTGCTATAGCACTAGAAACAGGCTGTTTGATTATAATCACGGTTGCATCCTTTCCTGCCAAGTAATAGTGAGAGAATTACCAGCCCCAGGGGGGGTGCAGCCTTGGTGACCTGTCCTCTCCCTGTGCCGAGTCATGGTGAAATGGCTTTTCTCCCTCCCACACACCTCTTCCCTCTAGCCCCTTGTTTCTGTTCTTTCCCCTATTCCCCACATGTTTGATTAATTTGACAATAGACCCTGGAGCCTTTGCCACTTGCTATTTCCATACCTGTCCTTGGGGCAGAGGTAAGGAAAGGGCGGTGGGTTTGGGGGAATGAGATGGTTCTCACATAGGCCCCTCAGCTCGAGGTCCTATCACCTTTGGGTACTGAGAATAAGAGTTGTCCAAACTGGTGGCTCCATGGTTCCACAGTGGTCACACTGTCCCTGGCAGGGGACGTAGAGATATGTAGGAATGTATGACGGGTACAGGCATATCTGGGCTCACACCAGCTGCAGTCATCTCTGAGGTGGAAGGTACCTGCTGTTTAACAGGGCACAGGAATGCTTTGTGGACATTTAGGCTAGGTAGTGAGACTACCACTGCACGTCCCATTGGAAAGCTGACTGGCACTTCTGTCTGAAGGATGGCATGAGCACGCTGGCATGAGGGATCTGTGGCTTACTTTCTGCAGGCATGAGGGGAAGCTCTGGGCTTATTCTGGCTCCCAAGAGTTCTTGCCTGCCACAGGGCGGTCAGGCATGCATGGGACAGGTGCCCTGTTCTTGACTTGCCCAGGGAGTTATTCCCAGCTCAAACCTGCCTTCTCTCATCCCTTGTTGCAGCAATGGGAACCACTGGGGCAGTGTCCTACATACTGTAGTGCCAGGGCTCTGGCTGTCTGGGTTTTGGAGGTTCAGGGTCAGTGCCTTATGCCCCTCTACCTCCGTGGGGTTGGGCTTCATAAACTTTGGGCTTCTTTCTAAGCCCCCAGCCCTTGGGTTGTTGCCCAGCTTAGTCACTCTTGTTGTTAACATCATGCCCAGGCATGTTTCAGCAAAGAAACAGGAGCAAGCAGCTCTTTCTCTTCCTTGCTTCCCTTGCCTAATCCCTGGCTCCCATTCTGAGGGGAGGAGGCAGCATCCACCCACAACCCCTTCAGGGCATATGGCTTAGAAAGAAACTGGATGGGGTTCAGAGGACACGAGTCGGAAAGGGCCATCGGCGGGTGGTGACTGTTCTGTGGCGACATGGCAAATTCTGGATGTATTTGAGTCAAAGCTTATAAGGTTTCATCGTCCACGTGCCTTCCCCCTTTGCCTTCCCCACGCATTCACATCTCTTAGGACCCTGGAGCCCCTGTGCCTACAAGTGCATACTGGCTGGGGCAGCCTGTTTTAGACTGGCCCGGTTCTGAAGTGCCACCAAACTCCACTCTCAGCCCCCTGGCACCTTGGCTTTCAGTGGATCCAGGGCCCCTGCTGACATTTGCAAAATTGCCCTTTCACACCTTCTCAGCCACAAGAAGAATCTTGTAGTGCAGGTCTGTAGTTTCCATCCTCGCTGTGGCTTTGGCTGAAGGAAAGGAAATGCAGCCAGTGTGCACAGTCGATGCCCAGAGGAGAGCAGCATGCGCTGTGGCAGGGTTCTCAGCCTTGCTCTCCTGCTCCACTCCTCCATCCTAGGCAAAGCAACACACATGGGTTCACCACCAGACCCCTCCACTTACAATGAGGGCTCGCAGTGCCAATCTGCCTGGCCCAGGGACCCCAGCCCTTCCCCTCCCACTTGTCAGCAGGGATTCTGCTGTGTTGACAAAGCTCCAGCTCCCAGCCCAGGACCCAGGGAGGGCAGTTAAGGGGGCTAAAATCTGTCCCAAGCCTACAGGATGCTGAGTCAGGCAGCACCACAGACAGGGAAGGATCTCTGGCTTGGCATGAGATGATATGGGGAGGATGGAGGGGGGAGTTCAGTCCCTAAAGAGCAGAGTCTCCTGTGCTTTCTAGTTTGCCACTCCCTGGTATCCAAACAGCTCTTCCGCTCCCTCCCTGCTGAGCTGTGTCCTGTTTGTCTGTGCTGGTTTTACTTTCCCTTTTGCGTCCTTTCCAGGCCCTGCTGTTTCAGGGGCACACCCTCCTGCTGCTGCCCTCCCCTTGATGTTTCCTGTCTGTTAGCAAAGCTTGGCTCTGCTGTGTTTTCCCAGAGCAGCCTGGTCTGGGAAGACCTCAAGGGAGACCCACAGGGATAGGACAGGTGGGAGCTTGCAGTGGGGGCCCAGTTAGGGCTCCAGCTGCCACTGGCCATTTGAGGGGGATGAAGGATGGGAAGGAATTCTGCATTTTAGCGGTGCGTGTGTGGGACCAGTAATTTGGAGCTGTGTCCCTGACATCCACGCAGCCATGATGGTGGGACCAGGAGGTTTGTGCTCCAGCCGTGGCAGGCTGAAGTGAGGGACGGTGAGGAGGGATACGGGAAGAACGCTGTCTGCCCCTCACCACCGCCGAGGGGCTCTGTAGCATGAAATGAACAGGGGGGGCTCAGAATGACTGTGATGTCTCTCTGGCCTGGTTGCAGGGTCCACATTTGAGGAGTGTGACTGCCAAAGAACATGGCTGCAGACAGCTTATCAAGCAAAGCCCTGAAGGTAAGAGTGGGTCAGCAAGTGTCTCTGCCTGCCTCCTTTGCCTTATCCTTCCCTTGCTTCCATCTTACTCTGTTGTTTTCCTCTCTTCTCCCTTCATCTGTCCCCACTCCTAAAGCTACAGGCTTGGACAGGGCAGTCCAAGTCATCAAGTGTTGTCCCCTCCAGTCACAGGTAACCACATAATAGACATTAAGTCCCAAAGGGACAAAAACGCCCACTCTGGCCCTGCCTTACAAAGCACTGCCTAATGAATTTAAAATCTCGAGTAGAAAACCCAGGCAGCATGCTAGAGAAAGAGAGCAGGGGAGATGAGGGTAACCCTAAAGCCTGGGTGCAGTGCAATGGCAGGGAACTGGTAAGGTGAAATAGGCCCAGAGGATCCTAGGAAATGGACTGTGCTTCACCTGAAACAAGAAGGCTAGGAGTCCCGACAGTCTCTGCTGATCTGACCTAGGGGGAAATTGCCTTCCCAACCCCAGTTCTGGCACTTGACCTTGACCTTAAGTGTGTGAGCAAAACCCACCAGGCCCCTGAGGTTCCTCAGTACCACTAGGAGCACAAGTACACAGCTGGCAGGATGCCTTCTCTGACTGGGGCCAACACTCAGTGCTAGCAGGAAAGGCAAAGGCATCCTATTTTGTCACCTGCTCCTCTTCTCCATCCTTTCCTGCTCCCTTCTTGACCCTCTGCCTCTGTCCTGTTTTCCCTTCTGTGCCTTCACCACCCCACTGCTCTCTTCTCCCGCCCAGATCAAGCGTGAGATGGGCGAGAACACACCCCTGTTGTCGGATGAGGAGCTGATGGGGTTGTCAGTGCGGGAGCTGAACCACCACCTACGGGGCCTCTCCAAGGAAGAGGTGGCGCGCCTAAAGCAGCGCCGGCGTACACTGAAGAACCGCGGCTATGCAGCCAGCTGCCGGGTTAAGCGTGTCTGTCAGAAGGAGGAGCTGCAGAAGCAGAAGATGGAGCTGGAGTGGGAGGTGGACAAGTTGGCCCGCGAGAATGCTGCCATGCGCCTTGAGCTGGACACCCTGCGAGGCAAGTACGAGGCCCTGCAGGGCTTTGCCCGCACCGTCGCTGCCCATGGCCCAGCTGCCAAGGTGGCCCCTGCAAGCGTCATCACCATCGTCAAATCCAGTACCAACCAGGCCACATGCTCCTAGTGCCTGCCTGCCCTGCCGTGAATTGAGTCCTCTCTCCATGGCTGGGCCCAGCTCTCTACCTAGAATGGACTGCAGCTGCACTGGCTCCTCCCCCAGCCCCTCCCAGAGCCAGAATCAACTTGAAGACCCCCAGAACCCTCAGCCCTCATTTCTCCTCTTCCCCGTCCCCTCCTCCACCTGCCTTAGACCATGTGGTGGCTTAGGCCTGTCCCCCACAGGTGAATCCTTGAGTTCCCCCCTGCCAAACCCACACACACTTGTCTTATGTTAAAAAGTCCCCTCTTTCCTTTCCCTGCCCTTGTCCCTCCTGGCTTTAGAAGTGGGGAAAACCCTCTCACTTCTCCCTGTCAGGGGCACAGCATCTTTGTATGCCTGGCACCAAGGCTTGTGTAGGAAGAAAGAGAGAGGGAGAACTGGGAGCCATCTTAATGGCTTATTCTGCTTAATAGAGCACGGTGCAGGGATTGGAACATCCGTCCAGAGACTTACCAAGAGCTGCTGTGACCTCCCAGTCTTATAGTCCACAGCCCTCCCTGCTCTCTCCTGCATCAACTACATTTCAGCTCTCCCTACCAGTGGCCCTGGGCAGCAGTGTAATGCCCAGGACAGTGCCGGCTGCCACGATGCTGATAGTCGCGATGCAATCAGCCATCACTGTGGCTCTGATTATTTTTGCACCCCCCTAACAGAGGCAGCACCCAGTCATCTCCCCCCCGACTCCTGTTTAGTTACCCTACTGCTCTCTGTGTTTTTCCAGGAAGAGCTTGAAATGCCCTGTACCAGAAGAGGAAAGAACAGAGGCTCCCCCAGGGGGTTAAGCAGAAGTTCCAGGGAGTGGGAAGTAATCAGAGGAACTAGGCAGTGCATGGGGGAAAGAGGGTCATGTTCAATAGAGAGAGGAAGGTGAATGCAGGATGATGTGTAAAAGGGAGAACAGGTCTCTGTGGCAGCTGTTTAGATCAGGTCAGAATGTGGCACTTAAACATGTACTAGACACCATGGGAATTACCACACTCAAGCCATTGATTCAGCTGCAGGGGTGACTATAACATGGGATGGAGTTATGGAAATCTCCCTCCAGTGCTATCGCAGTGAAGTTAAATTTCTAAGATCTCCTGTCTGGAAGAGAACTACCGGTAGCTTTAGAATGAATGAGACCTGGGTAGTGGAAGGGGGTGGGAGGAAGAGAGAAAGGGAATGTAGAGCAATAGAAAGAGAACAAAGTATGTGAGACAGATGGACAGAGGAGGAGTGGCAGGGGAGGACCTGGATGAGGAATGCATCTGAATGAGGGGAGTTGGGGCTGGAGAACGTTTTGGTTGCATTTTGTGACCACGGAAATCAAAAGATGCAAAAATGTAGAGAGGAATTTGAGGCAAGTGGAAGTGGGGGGTGCAACACACATGGTACCCCCTGGAATTCAGGTAGGGAACTAGGGAGCCAGCCCAAATCCCAAACCTACTACCGAGATGAGCCAATCAGAAGGAAGCTGTTATCTATCTGGCATTTGCTGAGCTAGATAAATCATACAGAAGCTGTAACTTCCCGAGCAGGCAGGTGGGTCTGGTAAGCAGTTGATGGGTTGAAATATCCTCTTTGATTCTCTAACTTGAAAGACAGGGTTTCATTTTGGGGAGAGGAAGGAGAGGGGCATGTTTTTGTGTCCCTAAACACACACATCCCTCACCTTTTCCTGGCTGCAGTATCATTTCAGCCGTGGCATAGCGAGTCTCATTGAAAAAATAGAAAAAGCATCTGGCCGGAAGTAAACACAGCTGTCGTGGAGATAAGGCTATTACTGATGTTACATTGCACTTGAATGTCCCTGTGGAGACTGGCACCACCTTGTTCCAGGCACTGTACAAACCCATATTGAGGTGGTTCCTGCCCCAGAGCTTGCAGTTTAGACTGGCAGTGGTTGGGAAGGGAAAGGGAGGCATTGGGAGGTGACGTGACTCGCTCATGATCACAAATCATGGGAGTGGCAGAGCCAAGAATAGAAGCCAAGCCTTCTGCCTCCACACCCAGCACCCTTTTCATGAGCTAAGGAAAGCACAAAGGCTGAGAGCCCAGCTCATGGCTTGAGAGCAAGGACTATTTCTCCAGTCACAGGCACCTTTTCCAATCCCTCCCCCTGATGGCCACTGTCTCATAGAAGCCACTTGAAGGTGCAGTACTCTTCAGAAAGCTTGGGCATGGGGGAAGAGGTATAGCTCCCTCAATAGGGAAGATATGGCAGGGTCAGTGTGGGTAATGCTAGCCAGTTATTTTGAGGCACTTGACACAATATATGATTATCCTCTTCATTTCTCAGACCCACTTAAGCACAACCCCTCCCTGGAGCCTGCGTGCCACCCACTGCAGTGCTGCAGCCACCTCCAGATAGGTAGGTCCAACCTGTTTCCTCCCCTCAACTCATCTAGAAGGTCCCACATTTGGCATTTCCCCCTCCCACCCTCTCCTCTCCCCCCTCTCCAACTCCTCGATGGTTAATTTATTGCACGAACATAAGTTATTTTCACATCCTCTTTGCCATTCCGCCTCTTGGCACAGCCAGGATGTCGGTACAGAGCCGTACTTTATATTTTATATATGCAAATCACATTTTATCGTATACTTATATAGAACAAAAACAAAAAACATATTTATTTTCTGACTTACAGTAAATGTCCTGTCCAACTCCTCTGTATTTTGTAGACTTTATAAATAAAGTACGTTTTTTTTTTTGGTTTTTGTTTTTCCATATGGAGTGCGGGTTTTCATTAAGCTGTAAAACAGAAATCTGGCTTCGTCACATGGAAGCCACGTTGCAGGTTCTTGCAGTGTTCTCATGATCGTCCTGATAACCAGCAGTTTTCCATCCAAACCAGGCTCACTGAAGTCAAGGGCCTCTGTAAGAATCGCATTTTTTCATTTAAAAAAAAAAGAAAAGGGGGGTGGGGGGGAAGGAAGGGAGGGGGGAAAAAGGGTTTCCAGCCATCATTGTTGGAGAGAAAAAGTTTGCTACATGAAGCAAGTGCACACTCAATGTTCAAATTGGAAGGCAAACAAAGTGATCCATTTTTGTATTAAAAGAAATAAATCAAAAAGCATGATTTTTCAAAACAGTCTCATGATTTCTCACTGGTAAGAAATGACAGAGCAGCTGAATGCTCGCTCATCCTAGTGGAAGAGCCAAAGGTCAGAGCTCAGTGTCAGACATCTTGTATGCACACACATACAACAAGAGCAGTGACAATGCCCCTAGATCAGTGATTCCTAAGCAGGGTACCATGAGATCCTTTCAAGGATGCCATGGGGTGCACACCACGTTAGCATTGTTAGGAGTATGAACATGAAACACAAGCCCAGAGATTTCCCATAGGAATCCACAGTGTTTAAAACTTTCTGACCTGTAGTGGTCTCTCTGCAGCAGAAGTCCTTTGCAGCAGAAGACTTGCTCTATTATTTTTCCATAGTCAAGAAAAAGAAGTGAAAACAAAGAGCTGGCATTTTCCAAGGGTCGTGTGGTGTCTAAAACATTTGAAAACCACTGCTCTACTTACATACTGCGCCTCAGCTATCTCTAAATAGCTGGGGGCTGGACTCGATGATCTTCCGAGGTCCCTTCCAGCCCTAATGTCTATGAAAGGCAAGACCATCTAGTCTTCTTGTCACATTAGACCCCACTGCCTTCCTAAGGTGATGGACAACAGCACCGGTAATTAGCACCAGCCATGACTAGGTTTCTTCTGCTAGGACAGGGTGGTCAACCACAAGTGGCACAGGCAGCCTCTGTGTGGCATGTGGCAGACCAGAGAGGGTACAGGCAACTGTGCCGGATCGGGCAGGGAGCAGAAAAGAGAAGCAAATAAAGGCAGGGAGCGCAGAGCAGGGAACAGAAAGCAGAGGAGTTGATCAGGCAGAGAAAGGGGGCATAAGTGGCATTCAGTGGAGGGTATGAGGCTAATTTGTAGCATAGTTGCCAAAAGAGTTGGCCCCCACTCTGCTAGGAAATGAATGGCAACTGAATGCACTTTGGAGAGGCTGCCTATCAGCCATAATGTGGTAACAACCATCAGGCACTGGTGAGCTGAGGGTCAGAATTTGAGCTGGGTGGAGAAAGTTTTCCCAGCCCATAGAAATATTGCTGAGTTCAAACATTCCCATTTCACTTTGGGCCAAAACAGAGAAATAAAGGTACTACACCCACCAGCACATAGCTGATAGTCCATGGGTGGTTTAAGCCCCAGCTTCAAGCATTTGCCCAGCCCCATTCAGCTCAGGAGGATATGGGAGCTCAGTCTCTCATACCCAGCTTATGTGAGTGCTCAGCGCTATGCAATCGCTCCTCTCTGACCCAAGTGGAACAGTTCCAACAGGAGAGAGATCCACCCCATCGTAGCCAACTGGTTGGGACAGTCACTTGGGATGTGAGAGACTCAGGTTTCAAGGCCCTGATTTAAATGAGGCAGAACAGGGCTTTAAAACAAGTTCTCCCACATCCCAGCTGAGTGCCCTCACTACTTTGCCTGCTGGCTACTCTAGAGTGGGTGGGTCTCTTACCAGAAGCTGGAAGAGCTGAGAAACAGTTCCCACAAAAGTTTCATCACGCCCAGCCAGTTCTCGTGAAGGGTTTGTAGGTTTCTACAAATCATCGGTGTCTGCCAAAACCCCCACAAAAAAATTTGGTCAGAAAAACACTCCTCCCCAGCTGTCATCTGAGCCAATCACCATGAGGACAGAAGGCTTTAGTCACTAAGACTATGGTTGGGTAGATAGAAGGTTTTTCCCTGCAGCATACATGAAATTCCCAGTGTCCGTGCTATCTGCCGGAGAGCCTTGCAAGTGACCACAGACATAGGTATTGACTAAAGAAGGGAAGCCCTTTCTGGGGAGGAAACCATGGAAAGCTGAAGGCCTCTTGTGGCAAGCATGCATAGCGCAGGCGGAGAAGTCGGCACAAGATACAACAGGGCCCAGGAATGTTACCCAGAGGTCAGAGATAGCTTGGTAGATGGCCCCGCCTAGCCTGCATTCCACAGAGCTGCCATCACCCCAGGAAAACAGGGCTCTGCTTAGAAATACATGAGCAAAACAACCAACTGACTGCTTCAGAGCCCAGGTGGAGTGGATTAACACATACCATTGAAAGCACACAGCCACAGATCCAGGTACAAGCTCCAAGCCTTTACTACTCCATCCAGGAAGAGCACAGACCATCTGCAGATGCTTCCTCAGCCTGATGAAGGGTATTTGTACCTGAAAGCTTGTAAAGAAGAGTTTTTCCAACTATTTGAGTTGATCTAATAGAAGATATCAGATTTACCCAAAGAACCTGATCTTGTCAGTTCTCCATTTTACATGCACTCCCCCACCATCCCATTGCAGCAGCCCCTGCACCAGCTCCAGCGTTCGCAGCAGGATCCAGCACTTGGGGCAACAGCTGTCCCCAAAATGCACAGCAATGTGAAAGCACAGTCATTTTGTTGAAGACCTGCTTCACCACATACCCTCTTTTCTCCAGGAGCAAGTCCATAGAACATGGAGAAAGACCCCAGCGTAACACCTTTACCATCTTTATCACCCTTTTCATTCTGGCTAAAAAGTACATGGGCAGGCCATAATAATAAATCTACGATCAAGGGGTCACTCACTTTTCCTTAGTCACTTGTTCTGGAACAAATGATCTCGCAGCCCTTAGCTATGCCAGCTCAGAGAAGCCCAGAGAGGTTGAAGCCTAAATTTCCCAATGTCTGCCAGTTTGTGATGTTGGACCCATAGCACTTCATTCAGACGCTGACCACCTGCAGTCCTCAGTATCTTTGGCTGGAGCCGTGAGTGCTCATTATTCTCTACAATTAGATTCCAGGCGCTGAAAGTTCCAAACTCAAAATAAGCATCCATTTTTGATCCAAATGATTAGCCCAGAATAAAAACCCAAATCTCCTGGGACCAGCACTGTTATAATTCAACATCTATGTCCTTACACATTGGGTACAAGCACATGTAACACTTAGAACAGTTTAAATGAAGTTCAAAGCTGAAGCCTGTTAAATCAATTTAAAGCTATTGTGAAAGATTCAACAGTGTACCTGGAGAAACAAGTGCTATTCTGACCCATTCTGGTGTGAGAGCCCAGCACTTCAGTTGTGAGCACTGTCCCTAAATCAGTGGCATTTGGGAACGGTTCTGTGTCTGAACCCTGTCCTGCAACAACTGTGAACTGGTTTCAAATAAGTGACATTTTGGAACAGTTCAATTGTTATGTGTCTGCACCTGCCAACTGACCTAAGTGCTACCATAAGGAGACTGGACTGACAAGGATAGCAGCGAGGAGCTTTCACTCGGTGGAGGGACTAAGCATACATCTGTACAGCCTCTTCAGTCATCCTGAGACTGCTATAGAGAAACAAGCCCTCCCCACTTGTTCCTGCTTAGCACGCACAACCCACTGGCTGGTCACATGGATACATTTTGGAGCATGTCCTGGCATACTCTCAGAATCAGTCACAAGCAGGCTCCTGAGCATAAGTGGTGGGGGAAAATATTATTTGTGGGGAGCTGAGCCCCGCCTGACCCCTGGCCCCTCCCTTCTGCAGGGTTGTTGCAGGGCCAGCACACACTGGTGCTGTACATGGCAGCGGAGGAGTGGATGTATGCCGAGCTGTGCCAGGCGCTGCAGGATGGCGGTGCCATGATGATGATGCTGTTGCTGGACGCCGCAAAAAGTTTTGGGAGGGCCAAGCTCCGTTAGCCCCAGCCTTCCACTGCCTATGCTCTCGAGTGTGGCACGGGGAGCCTCTGGTATCTCTAGTAGTGATGAAATGACATTTTTTCAGTATGCACAGCAGGAGTGAGTGGACAGGGCTGGCTGCTTGGTGGGCAGTGGTCTCAGGAGACACCAAGTGTGCTACAGACAACCCTCACGAAATAAGACTTACTGCATGGCTTTGGCCCCTGTGGAGAGTCAAGAACAGAGATGAGCATAATGCAAGGAACAAAAGGGGGAAAAGGAGATAAAATTCCAGATACCACCACACAGAGGCAGTTGAAGTACAATCTATATTATCTATATATTTTTATTTGTCATTGTATTTGCTTGTTTCTGCAGAGTATAACGTCACAAAGACCAAAATAGAGAGAGCGGCTTGTCGCTGAGCTCACATCAGTTATACACGATAGGTACAAAACTAGGTGACTCTGTCTTATTTATCATACATTTTTTCAGTCATTTATATACAAAGAACTACTCTACATGGAAAAATAATAAACAAATTCCACGGGTATGTTACATGGTATTAAGGAGAGGGGAAGAGAACTACCAGGGGTCTATTGGTGGGACTGGCTTTTGTTTATGGCCCTGGGCTACTGTGAGTTGGATATGCATGATCAAAGGGCCCAGTAGCCAAAATCTCAAGCTCTGAGTTTTATCATATGTGCACTTTTAATAGCCAAAGTGACTACTGTACCAGTCATTGTTCTGGCACTTGCCCATCTTGAGAGAGAGCAGAAAGCTTAGCAGAGATGTTTTCATATGGCGCTAAAAAAGGTATATGGCGCTGGCTGTGGTAGGTAGGACTCTACTTTCTACCAGGTTCCTTTGAAGGTAACCAGTGCAAAAAGGTTATGCTTTAAACATCTACATACAGGAAGCTTCAAGAATATCCAGATCCTATGCACAGTATATGCAGCATACATTTTAAAATAATAATAATTTAAAAAAAAATCCTTCCCCAAAGCTGGGATATTTTAGGGTCAACGGGGAAACCCCAGGGACTCCAAACTTCAGCCCCTCCCTCCATCCCTCCAACACAATGGAGGAATATTAGGGAGGTTTGCCACAAATAAGTTAAACAGGAAGAAAGGTGTTGTGGGGGAGTGCTGCAGCTGGAAGTACAGGGAATGGACACCCCCAATTTAACAGAGGTGAGTCTATACTGCCGCCTCCTCTGCTTCTGAAAAAAGAGTGAATATAAAATAAATAATCTGAGCACCATGGGGTGCTTGTGGATCAAAGTGAAGGTCACTGGAAGGGAGACCCATTTGAACTTCATGTCTGTGTTCCAAATGGCTTGGAGGTGTGGAAAGACAATTTTGCACCAAGCCTGTGAAAGGTCTGATTATTGTTTTTTGTTTCAGTTCAAGTTAAGTAGTAACTGATTAAAAAAAAAAAAATCATAACCTATTGCATGGGACTGCAGTGCAGGCGGTCCTGGTAGCCACAGACATTTGCTTTCAGACCTCCTGCCCCCCAGGGAGTTCCCCACACCACCCCCAGGCCCCTGGGCCGCTGTGTTCCAGAAACCTATTCACTTCCCTCCAGCTTATTCTCAAAAGCATAATATGGAGGGCAAACCACATCAGCGCTGACATCCCCAAGAGAAACGCACTCTGTTCTCAATAAGCCTGCCCCTCTCTTGGCCTGCATCTATTCGCTGCCAATCAAACTGGACTTTGGATTGAGGTCATTTCCAGGGGCATTGCTGCTGCTGTTGGGATCATATGTGTCTATGTGAAAATTAAGGCACAGAAGAGAAAGGTAAGCCACGTGCAACACAGTCAGGCCCCAGCTTTTCCCCTCAAGCCTCCCCAACAGAGGGACTGGGTGCGCTGACAGCACGTGCTTGCTGACCACAACTAGCCAAGGGGCCTGAAACCATAATGGCTGCTTCATATGCAGTGGCAGTGGTGGAAAGGAATGAAGAGAGGCCCACAGCCTGGAGGAAAGCAGCAGCTTCATGTTCACCTCCCTGTTTTGGTTCCTTTTTTTGTGGGCAGTTTTAATATGAGCACAAATAGTCACAACAGTAGCAGAAGTCCAACCAATCTATGGCACTTTGTTCCCCCTGCATCCCAACTTTAAACCATCAAGAGGCATTTTTTGGTGCCTGGCAAGATTTTCAGCTCTTCGGGGGGTCCTTTTTGTGTTCATTCTGCTGAACACCAGATTCAAAGCCCACTGAAGCCAAAGGGAAAAACTCTCATAGACTTCAATGGGTTTTGGCTCTAGTCTCTATTGTGTCAGTTGCTGTGGGGGCTATATCACATATTATGGCAACTCTACTCTGGAAGATCATGGAGGAACCACAAAGGAGTAAAACAAATTGGCTAGAACATGTAAACATTTCAGACTGGCCCAGCTGGGTCCCAAACAACAGAAAGGAGGGCAAGCAGGGAGCAGAACGTTTCTGTCAGGAAACCCCCTCCTTATAGCAATGCTCCTTCAGTTCCCAAAGCAAATCAATGGATGGCAAGGCTGAAAGAGGGATTTCTATAAGAAAAGAGGAAGGGAAAATGGTGCATGTGCTGGAACTGAATCAGAAGGTGCACGCGTGTTTGTACTATAGCATCTAGGGCTGAAGTGTTTTGATACCCCGTCTCCCCCAACTGAGAGGAGTAGGAAACAAAGAACCAATGGCCTACCGATCATATTTAAACACTTCTAACCACAACTATTGTACTTCAGTTACTGGTCATGGCTAGTCCTATGTCTTATTAGTAGCAGGAGCTGGACACACTAAGGAGGAATTCTGACTCTACAATGTAGGAGACATGGGAATCCTAAAGATTTATGGTAACCATAAAAACCCCTTGCCCACAAAGGGAAAATATGCTTTGTATCTGCCCCTTTACCTGATCATCAGCTGGAGCCAGAAGGAAAATCTCCCGCTCCCCCCACGCCCCTCCCCACAAGTATCAAACTGTATAAATCAGTGCACAAGGGGGTGATGGACAGGTGTTTACTTCTGAAGCATCTGGCAATGGCCTCGGGCAGACAGAGAACATGGTAGCAGAGAGACCAAGGGTTTGGTCTGGTTCTCAGGAATTCTTACAGGTGTCTCTTGACTGCCTTTCCCAAAGGGTTCAGGGCGGTTAGCACAGCAGTACTGATAAAGAGGAGAAAAAGGAACTAGCAGCTACATTCATGTCAACTGCTATGGAGAAAGAAGTGTAAGTAATTTAGCTGCTCAGTTGGGAAGAAAACTTTTTTGGCTATTTCTGTGTACCATAGCGCTTAGTGGGCGTGGGAGGCTATGACCTCACTTCCTGCACCCCCACACATAAAAGGGGAAAAAAGGAAAAATGGAAAACATGGTCCACTCTTTCTTAGGGCTTTGTTCCCCATTGCCATACATGTCTGTTGGTTTGAAACAGTCATTTGTGAAACAAAACCTGTTCCAGTTGATTTTTGCTTTAGAAAAGTGGTTTGTGAGAATGAAGTCCCAGCCACCCGTTCCCCCTGCTCATGATGTTTAGACCCACAAAAAGCTAACGGGAAGTGCCTGCTTCTGCATTGAGCACCATCCAGGAAGTGATATGACTAGTGTTGTTTGTTCAATAAATAAAAAGAAAGATTCCAGACCAGATGGGGCCATCATCCCTCATCAGCCTCAGGGAGCAACTGGGGATGGTGGCCCCTGTTAGAACTCATCGTCAGAGCTCAGCAGCAGTGTCTTCTCATTGTCACGGCCGCCCGAGACACTGTGGGAGCGTGAGATGACATGGCCACCATTGCGCCATGGTGGTCCATGCTCCAGTGTCGACTGCTGGGTGTACTGCTGGTAGGCAGGGGAGAAGTTATGAATGGCGTCCTGGACAATGTCATGAGGGTTCATGGTCTCCTTGAGGCTGCTGGAAATGCTCTTCATTGGGGCACAGCGACCTGGAGGGCAAAATGGAAGAGACCAATGAGAAACAGCAAAGTCTTGCAGAACTGAGTGCAAGGAGGAAGGGGAGAAGGGAAAAGCAAATGTTCATGCAGTGACCACCACCCCCTGACTCTAGACACTCCAGAACCTCCCAGCACAGGCTACCATAAGTAGGTTTCAAAAAAGTGCCATAAAATGGGGTGGGGTTTCTGAGAGGAAGCTCTCACCCACTGGAAAAGGACTAGTCACAACTATCTGAGCAATTTCACCTCAGCAGGAGACTGGAGACATATAGTGAAAATGGGATATGAACACAAACTGCTGACTACTCTTCCCTGCATCCTCATTCTACTGGTGAGCAAAAGGAAGGATCCAGGAATGCAGAGTGGCTTTTAGTTTTGCATTAATTTGAAAGGCAATTGGCTGCAAGACTGAGGGCCTCAGTTCTGAAGGGAACTCAGAGGGGATGCAGGGCAAGAGGGCTGGAGACACAAACCTAGGAGGCAGAGGCAAAAGGAAGCATTCCAGATAAGACAGAGGCATGTGCCGCACACACAGGGCAGAGGGAAGCACAGGCAGATCAGGGGGATGTGGGGAAACTGCAGGATACAGAAGACAAGCACAAGGGGAGGGTGCCTGTTTCCCATCCTAGAACTTTACTAATCCCATCCTCCCAGCTGCCAGGGGACCACTCCCAGCAGGAGCTTCCAGATTCTCTCCCATCTCCAAAGGACAAGCTCCCTGAATTGCCCGGAAAGGCTGCTTGCACTTGACAATGGCAGGGGGACACTGTCTCAAATAGGAGGGTTGACTGCTTTCAGCTCTCTGGCTCCAGTTAACATGCTCTGCAGTTTTAGCTAGCCCTAAAACTTAAGTGCATCAGTACTACAGGCCAAAGTCTCAGCCTGCTAGTCAGCCTTGCCAGAGGCATCCCATGACATCATGCCACCACCCACCAATGAGGACTTGCTCAAGCCACTGCATCCTACAATACAGGGGTCCTCAGGCATCTGCATTAAGGATGGACAGGTATTTACACACAAAGAAGGACAGTGAGAATCTGCCGGGTAGTTCTCCGTAGGGAAGGGGCAGGATACTGGTGAGGGGAGGGATGGGAAGCAAAACTGAAGGACATCCCAGTTTGGAGCAGATGGAACAATCACACAGAGAGCTCTGCACCTACCGTACGGCCCGTATGATGGAACAGCTGCATCAGAAACCAGTGGCCAAAGCAAGGGAGAGAAAGAGAGAGAGGGAGGGGAAAAAAGGGAGAGAGAGATAGAAAGACGGGAAATAATAGGCTGAGCAAGCAAGTTATTCTCAGCCCCACCACCACAACATCCCCTGGTGCTGGTTAACAATTTATCCATCCGTTTAGCCCCTGCAGCCTCTACAGCAACAGCATGTCATGCAAGAGGGCAGGAATCCATTATTTGATTTCCACCCCAACACCTCTCCTCATGTTGAAACGGCCTGGCCCCTCCAGAGCTGTGAGGCTGGCTGGGATGGAGTAGATGCTTCGTAATCTTCAAGAATACCTGAGCCTACTGTCTGCATGTGACACAAACCCCCACCCCTAGCAGGCAGGAAACCTCATCCCATTATCTGGAAAGAAAGGGAAACACATAGGCTGAACACAAGGCAACATGCTCCATCCAAGCCAGCTCTCACAACTCTCTGCTGATTCCTTCTCCTCTGGCCAGAGGCTGGTTCTCTGGCCTTCTCAGCCTTCACAGTGCCACTACTTGAAGATCCCCCTCCCTCACACCCAGTGCACTGACAAAGCCTTGCACTGTCATCCCTGAGTGTTAAACAGGAGCTGGCTCAGGCCTCTGTCTCTCGTACCAGTTACACAACCTGACCTGGTGGAGTTCCCCTGCAGTTACACAGGAAGGAAGACAATACACTGTCCTCCAGTAGGAGGCTGGTCTCACAGCTCTGAAGTCTGCAATGAGCTGTCATGGGTTGAGAACTGGGAAACTGAAAAGGGAACACTAGAAATGAGACAAGGTTCTGTTCTGTGGGGCCCTCGCACATTAGGTCTGTGCAAACATCACCAAGGAGAGAACATCACTTAGGGATACTGATGCCCACCCCTCTCACTGCCAAGCAAACATGCACCCTGCTGAGCCACGGTCTACTTTACCTTGTGCATCAAGGCGCTTGTCTGCATAGACCTTGTAAGTGAAGGCATGGCGCAGAGCAAGGGCTGCAAAGAACATCTCCACGCAGATGATGAAGTCCTGGTAGCCGGCAGCTACAGTGCCCTCACCCACAGACACGTTGGCTGAGTGGATCTTGGGGATGGCGCCGCACTTCTCCAGAATAGCCAGCAGCATGCCTGAGCGAGGTGACAAGGCCAAGCAAACAAAGAAAATTAAAGGCTGACCTCATACTGCCCTACAGAGCAGCAGAGGCCAGCTGTCTGTGCCAGCGCACTGGCAGGAAACTCGTTTAACTTAGGGACTTGTGCCAAGGAAGCCAGCAAGATGCTCCCCCTCACCCTGTCTTGGTAGCACAAGAGCAGGAGACATGTTGTGAATTTATAAAACAACAAATGTAAGCACCAGCAGCATTTCAATGTGGACCTTTCTCCTAAACATTACTCATAAATGAACTGTGGAACTTGCTGCTGCAGAATATTCCTAAATTCAGAAAGGGTAAAAAGGGATTAGACATTTCTTGAGAAATGCTCACTAGCTAGATTATATTAAAAGGAAAAATAAATCCTCCTGCTTCAGAGTATGAGCTGGTGACCAGCTGGAGCCAGGAAGGAATTTCTTTCCAAGTTGGGGGTAGGTGAATTATGACTTTTCAAGCTTTCTCTGGATACTGTGGCCAATGCTGAATCAAGATAAAGAACTAAGTAAACCATTAGCCTGTTCTGAAACAGTATTTCCTTATGTATATATGGGCTAACCCTGGACCTATAGGATTTTGGTGGCTGTGCAAAGTGTGTTTCTAAGTTGATGAGCCCCAGAACCAACAGGGAAACAAGGTTATGATACAAGACCCCCCCAAAAAGGAGATCTGGTGGTTGCTCAACCTCTTATCCAGGGAAAGGGGGGAGCACCTCACCTTGCCAAAAGGACAGAAAGATGACGGACTTGACCATGAAGAACTTGAGAACTGGGCTGTAGGGGCTGAGCAACTCGCGTGTGGCAAAGTAGAAGAGAAAGAGGGCATATAGCGCCAGGCTGACTGAGATGTTGTAGATGATCGTCACGTAGAGGTAGCCACTGGTGACACTGGAGCAAAAGCAAATATGAACTCTCAGAAGTTCAGACATCTCCTTTAGTCCTTTACCTGGGACAAGGTTCCTCTCCCCTCCTATATCCCTACCTGTCCACCCACCAACTAGCTCTGCTCTCCTGGAGCTCCTTTCCACTCCATCCATCCTTTCCTGCTTCCCTTCCTTTCATACACCCGCTCTGATCCCAAAAGCCCTTTCTCCCCATGCGTGCCCTCTCACCCTTTCCCATGGCCCCAAATAATTAAATAGACTCTAGTGAAGCCAGACTCTTTCCTTCACAGAAGAAAAGAACGTCAGGCATGTGCAACAGAGACATCTCATAATGATCTAGTTTGCTTACTCAAAGTCACCATCCCGGTACTTGCCAAAGACCTGGAGGATGACAGTGCTGATTGCCATGAGGGGCTTCACCACACAGAACTGCAGAGTGGCCTAGGGGAATGAGAGGGAGGAGGTGAGAGGGAGCATATGTGAAAGCATCCACACGGTACACGACATGCATAATACTACACACGTTGGCTTAAATCCATAAACAGCCAATACTGCCCATTTCAGTTGCCCTCAGGGCAGTTTATCTGGGAGGGGAGGGGTATTCCAGGCCTAACCACAACACAGCTCCTGCCATTCATTCATTAATCATCTGCTCTTGGGACTTGCAGAGCTCAGAGCATAAGGTGAAAGAGTCAGAGAGTGCATATGTACACACTTCGCTGCCCATCAGAGCAATGAAGCCTGTGACGTCTGGGTTGTTGCAAGAGGTTGCTCACTTATAAAGTTAGCTCACAGGCTGGGTTGTAACAGAGGTAAAGTGACCCACTCTGTGTTTTAAATTCTGGCCTTTATTTGCAGCCAAACACTCTATGGGTTAATCCAATAGAAAACACCAAGAAACACTTGATCAGATAAAACACGCATCTATGTGCTGCACAGAAGACCCTTAACACCATGACTCAATCTGAATACATGACTTTAAATCACAAACAAAAAAAAATATTGAGCAGCGTCCTGGGGAAGGGTGGGATGGCAACAGGACTCATGTCATGTGCTAACCATGTGGGCAATCCCCTTAGAGGAAAGAAATGAGGGAACAGCTATGCAATTTAGAGAGGATGTCAGCAAATAGAAACATCTGATGGCAACATCATATACCACTAGAACTGTCAACATGCCTAAACAGGTTAGATCCATTCTGATTTCACCTACATGAACATTAGACTCAGTCTGGGAGGGAGAATCATCATCAAGGCACCAAGGGATTTGATATCAGTTCTGTCTGCTCTGTCAATAGATACAGAGCAATGCTCCTTAGCACCTCCACACCAAGAGTGACATCTCTAAGAATGATTTATGTTTCCAGAGACAAAGGAGAAGGAGGTGAAGTTCCAGTTCAGCAGTGGGAGAGGGTAAAGACCCTAGACATGCCACTGGAGTTTCCCTTAAGCAGAAAGGTTCTGCTTGGTGCTGACCTGTGGTCATTTAAGAAGGGCTGCATAGAGGGAAAGGAAGCCAAGATAAAGAGGAATATTGTTTTTGATACGATGCAATTTGCTGGTGGTCATAAGACTTCACAAGGAGATTAAAAACCCCCAACACAAGCCAGTTGGTGAGTCACTGCAAAGATGCAAACAGAAAAAGGTCAAGCAAATTGGTAAACAACGCCTCTGAGCTTCCTCTCCTTCCCATTCAGGGACTGTTTAACCATTTCCCTGCAACCCAAGCCACAAACTTTTATTTTTAGGCATTTCCTGAGAAGCAAAGCATTACGAAATATGGGAAGTGCACCAATGGCACATGACCCAGACAGAAGGGTCACTAGACACGATTTAGGGGAAAGAACCTCTGAGCAATGCCATCCCAGGGAAGACAACTCTCCAGCCAGGTCTCTATGACACGCACATCCAAGTGTCATAGATTTCATAGACATTAGGGCTGAAAGGGACCTTGCAAGATCACTGGGTCCAGCCCCCTGCTCAAGGTGCAGGAAGTCAGCTGGGGTCAGATGACCCTAGCAAGATAGGCATCCAAGTGCTTTCTGAAAGGACCCAGAGTAGGTGCTTGCACCACCTTTGGGGGGTGTCTATTCCAAGCTCTGGGGACTCAGACAGAAAAGAAGTTTTTCCTTATGTCCAGCCTACAATGGTCTTCCCAGAGTTTGTGACCATTGGACCTTGTCTTCATGTGGGGTGCCCTGGTGAACAGATGTTCTCTCAGTTCCTGATGCACACCCTGTATGTACTTACAGGCTGCCACCAAGTCACTCCTGAGCCTACGCTTTTTCAGGCTGAAGAGTCCCATGGCTCTCAGACTCCTTTCATAAGGACTGTTCTCTTGTCCTCTGATCATGCACGTGGTTCTCCTCTGGACTCTCTCAAGTTTCTCCACATCCTTTCTGAATTGTGGAGTCCAGAATTAGATACAGTATTCCAGCTGTGGCCTCACCAAGGCCAAGTAAAGTGGGAGGATGACTTCCTAAGTCTTGCTTGAGATGCATCAGTAGATGCAAGCCAGAGTTTTGTTTGCTTTGCCAGCTGCAGCGTTGCATTGGTGGCTCATGTTTATCTTGTGGTCAATTATGACCCCTGAGTCTCGTTCAGTCGTGGTGCAAGCAAGTGTAGCACTGCCGAGCCTATAAGTGTGGTGTGGGTTTTTTCTCCTGAGGTGGAGCACCTTGAATTTCTCAGTGTTGAATGCCATCAGGTTTTGATCCGCCTGTGGAAGAATGCCACCCCAGCATCTTCCCAGACCCTTCTTTAGGTGTCCTTGCCATTGTCTCCTCACCTGCCTGTCAATTTGGTTGCCTGGGGTTACAGCTACTACGTGACCTCAGGCAGGTACAGGGGGAATGAACCTAGTCTCTATTGTGTTAGCTTTGACCTCATGGCAGTGGTTCAAAAGATGTCACTCTAGGGGCTGACCGATGATGCTTTTTAAACTGGTTGGCTGGTGCCCAACTACACCTGGCTGGGATTGGATCAGGTAGATGATGTCAAAAGGGCTATATAAGCCAACACTGCCCAGGAGGAAGGGCAGCAGCCATGATGAAGACACACACAGCAGTTCAACATCTGCAGCTCTCTCTCAAGATGCTGAAGTGTGTAAACTGTTGAAACCTATCTAGATATATAGCTTGCTGTAAAGTAGATGCTTGATCACAGGCTACTAGCCATACTGTTTGCTCTAAGGTTATTATGTAATACTTCTTTATCCTGCACCCTTCCCAAAGCCTTCCTTCTGTAACCAATGAAGTTCACTACCAAGCATGGTAGACTTGTTGGGAGAGGCATGCCTTTATGCCCCCTTGGTCCAGCTGACTAAGGGAGGCTACTTTTTGTGCTTCAAGCTAAAGGAAGCACCCCAAGTTTTTGCAGTGGGTTAAACCCCCTCAAGGTCTACAAGGCCTGTATACCCCAGGGGGCACATGGCCAAAGACAGACCAGATCCCCTGGGTGGTGGCAGTGGTACCCCCAGGCTTGAGTGTGTGCTCTGAGAAGGGGGTCAGCCTAACGTGGGGCGCCCCAGGGAGGCACTCGGATCCTGGTAGGGGATGGCTGCAGTGAGGTGGGTGGCTCAGAGCAGGAGTGCTCCCTACTGGTCCACTACACCGCCCATCTTGTAAGCCTGTCAAGGTCAGCCTGGATCGCCATCCTATCCTCTAGGGTGACCACACTCCCCCATAGTTTGGCGTCATCAGTGAACTTAGCCAGTCCGCTTCTGACACCAGAGTTCAGATTTGTTTATAAATTCATTGAAGAGTACAGGTCTGAGAACAGAGCCCTGGAGAACGCCACTGGTCACCATGTGCTATGTTGATTTGGTTTCATTGACTATCACTCTCTGGGTCCATCCACAGAGCCAGTTCCCCAGCCATCGGACCATGAGATTGTCGAGACCACAGTTCCCTAATTTTTCCAGGACGATATCATAGGATACCAGGACAAAGGCTTTCTTGAAATCCAGAAATATGATGTCCACCACTTCTTTGTCCAGGTGATGCATCACCTGGTCATAGAAGGAAATGAGATTGGTCAGGCAAGACCTACTCACAACGAAGCCATGTTGGCTATATCTCAAGACGTTGCCTTCTGTTAGCCTGTTGTTTATGGCTTCCTTGACAATTTTTTCCAAGATCTCTCCAGGGATTGAGGTCAAACTGATTGGCCTGTAGGTCTCCAGATCTTCCTTCCTCCCTTCATAGTTGCTAGGGTTGCAAGGGACCTGCGCAGATCATCAAGTCCGGCCCCCTGCCATGGGCAGGAAAGAAAGATGGGGTCAAACGACTCTGGCAAGGTGTCTATCTAGCCTCTTTCTGAAGACCCCCAGGGTAGAAGCGAGCACCACTTCCCTTGGAAGTTGGTTCCAGATCCTAGCCGCCCTGACTGTGAAGTAGTGCCTCCTGATATCTAGCCTGATTCTACTCTCAGTCAACTTATGGCCATTATTCCTTGTTACTCCCAGTACTGCTGGGGGGAACAGGGACTTTCCCATTGCCTGCTGGTCTCCCTTGGCCAGTTTATACACAGCCACCAGATCCCCTCTCAGCCTTCTCTTGTGGAGGCTGAACAGATTTAGGTCCCTTAGCCTCTCCTCATAGGGCCTGCCCTGCTGACCCCTGATCATGCGAGTGGCCCTCCTCTGGACCCTCTCCATGTTGTCCACATCCCTCCTGAAGTGCGGCGCCCAGAACTGGATGCAGTACTCCAACTGTGGCCTGACCAGTGTCGCATAGAGAGGGAGGATCAGCTCCTTGGACCTGCTTGAGATGCATCTGTGGATGCATGACAAGGTGCGGTTGGCCTTCCTGACTGCGTCCCCACATTGGCGACCCATGTTCATCTTGGAGTCTATAATGACTCCAAGATCCTTTTCTGCCTCCGTGCTGATGAGAGGGGAGTTCCCCAGCCTGTAGGTATGCAGCTGCTTCTTTCTCCCTAGGTGCAGTACTCTGCACTTGTCAGTATTGAATCCCATCTTATTCTCATCCGCCCACCCCTGTAACCTGTCCAGATCCAATTGCAGCCTGTCCCTCCCTTCTAGTGTGCCCACTTCTCCCCACATCTTAGTGTCATCTGCGAATTTGAACAAGGTGCTTTTCACCCTCTCGTCCAAGTCACTGATGAAGATGTTGAACAGTGCAGGCCCAAGGACCGAGCTCTGGGGGACCCCACTGCCCACATCCCTCCAGGTTGGAAATGACCCGTCCACCACCACTCTCTGGGTGCGGCCCTCCGCCAATTGGCGACCCATCTGACTGTGTAGGCATCGACGCCACACTCTCCTAATTTTTTAATAAGAATGGGGTGAGAAACAGTGTCAAAGGCCTTCCTAAAGTCCAGAAAGACTACATCCACCGCGACACCTGCGTCCAAGGATTTTGTGACCAGGTGTCTCTCTTCTTTCTTGAAGAGAGACACCATTGGCCCTCTTCCAATTACCAGGCACCTTGCTGGAGTGCCATGAGTTCTCTAATATCCTTGGCATTGGCTGCACTATGATGTCAACCAGTTCCTTTAGCACTCTTGGGTGCATTCCATCTGGGCTGGCTGATTTGTGGATGTCTAGCCTCTCAAGGTGTTACCTCATAGGATCTACACC